ATTTAATATATAAATGTTGTGCACATGCTCATCAGAATGGAGGAGTTGGGGATAGACAGAGATGGAGGCTCAGTGTGTTTCGGTCAGCTGCTGGGCATGTGTGACCACGTCTCCCTTACACTGGGTGAGCTGATTTTCGTCACATCACAGCTTGACTGATGCACTTAACATAACTATTAAATGACTGTCCACGCTTTCATCACCAAAACTGATAAACCTATGCACAATCACTGCCTGAGTGGGTTGAGAAAGGAAGCTATGGTTTTGACTTGTCTGATAATCACAGCATCCCATCTCCCCTCTCCCTTCCAGCTAAGGAGGGTTACTCAGTGTACAAGTCAGTGCCCTATGGCTCAGTGGACGAAACGCTGCCCTACCTGGTGCGCAGAGCTCAGGAGAACCGCACGGTGTTGCAGGGAATCCGGAAAGAAAGAGACCTACTGAGGAAAGAGCTCAATCGGAGACTCCGGCTGAGTTTAAGGGGAGGCAGCTAAAAATCAACCAACACTGAACTCTGCAGTTTTATATTAAAGTTTGAAACCAGGAGGTGGTGTGGAAAAGAGCACTGTTGTTAAATACATTTTCATATCTCTTGAAGGTGTAATATCCAGAAAGCTCCTGAAAACTACTACTGGGCCTGTTATTTAGCAACAGAAGGTAAACTGAATTAAGCATAAAACCTTTAATTGACAATGATATGATCGTGTTAACACGTGTGGGTGAACTGAATAAAGATCTGATCATGAGAGAACACTGTATTTGATGGACAGGGTATCAAAAGATTGCTTTTGTGTACTTTAATGTATGAAATGCTTATGAAATGTAATTAAACAAAAGAACATGATGCTCAGAAAGGAGGATTTATAAAACTAGACAGAAGAAACAGATTCAAACTTCTCTACAGACTAAGCTGCTGTTGCAAGATTTTTTGGGAATTTAATAAACAACTTTCCACTGTTTCGCCAGAATGTGATTCAAGTTTCTGTGAAGCATTGATTAATCAGTAATAAATGTCAGCGGTAGTTACACAGTGACTGTTCCATGGTTAGTATTTACCCAAGTTTACCAAAGCACTAAGGCTTGTATGTATGCCACAAAAGATGTAACACTTTGT